AAAAAAAAAAAAAAAAAAAAAAAAAAAAAAAAAAAAAAAAAAAAAAAAAAAAAAAAAAAAGTTAAAATAAAGTCCAATTGCCTTATCAATTGAGGTGGGAATAAGGAACAATAGAAAAATGTCTCAAATTAATTAGTCACTGCAGGGATTGATCATTCTTCCTCTTTTCGTGATCTTCCAGTTACTTCAGATTTTCTAATTCCGGGAGGCCATCCAGAGGTGTACGTGCAGGTCACAGGGGTTGCTATGGTGTCCATGGTGCTGTCAGTCAGCCTAAAAGACCTTATGCTCCTGTCTTTTAATATTAGTAATACAAAGGAAAAAGAAATGAAGAGTGGAGGGCAGTGGAATATTAGGAAGGCCGGCACAGAGGGGTGGTGGGGTGATGTTTCTAGGGCTTCTTTGAGCAGGATTGGGGACAGCACGGAAACCTAAAAATGGGAAAGAATTTAGATTGCTGGGAGATCTCAGGGCAAGGGGTGGTATTGTGGGGTCATTAGAAGGAGAATTTGTTCTATTGACTGATTTGTTATCACTTGTACACGATTTTGTAGGAATTGAGAGATTAATCAGTAAACACGGGGTCCAAATAGGAGAAGGACAAAGATAGGTATCAGAGGACTAATGATTGGAAGAAGCCATAACTCCCAGTTAGAGAGTCAGCCAGTCCAGCCAGGTCCAGAATACCCATTTGCCTGATTAGTGAGCTTTTGGGCTCTGTCTTTTAATTTATTGATGACATCATGTACAAGGCTGGACTGGTTTACATAAAACGACATTCTTCATTTAGGAACAGACAAAGACCTCCTTTTTCAGCAGTCAGTAAATCAAGACCTCTGAGGTTTTGGAGGACAACTGCAGCTAGGAAATTTACTTGAGCTTGAAGAAAGGATAGTGATTGAGTTAATTCTACAATGCTAGCAGAGAAATCATTAGAGAGGCTACCGAAGGTGATGATCGAAGTGGTAAGGCCTGCTATGCCTGTGCTGAGCACAGTGGTAATTCCTAACCCTACAAGTAAGGGGATCGATGAAGTGACCCGCTTGTGTCATGTGGGGATCTCAAGGGGAACAGGGAGGCTTTCGTCCCTGTTGGAAAACTGAATTTTGGGATTAAGGAAAACTAGGGTATGAGTGCCTGTCCAGTTGGTAGGAAGGTGGACGGAAGAAGAAGAACCACAGAGGAAAAAAAGTCCTTGGCTTAGACAGAGCTGGAAGTGTAAACTGAAAAGGTGAGAAAGTGTTCTGAGGGGCTGGGGCTTTGGACCCAAATGCGAAGGGAACCAGCAAGGGCTGTGGCTGTTAAAGGTTGTAGCCGGGTTTGGTAGGGTAACTGTGTGGAGGGACAGGTCTTGTTTTCATGGTATATGAGAAAGCGTGTGGTATCTATAAGTACCCACTCACTTTCATTAACAAGATTGGGTCTGAGAAGACAGGAAGAGGGGTCTGGAGGAAAGTCGGGGGAGCACGGGGAGGGCAGCCCAGGGTAAATGAGAGGCAGGGCAAATGCCGACCTAGGCAAGACCTGCTATTGACATTTTTAAGGCTGCTAGTAATAAGGGAGGGCTTTTCTGTAATGTGTAGTTCGTGTGCTCCTATTTTTTGGTTAACGTGGGTAGCAGGGCTCTTGAGGTGGAGTGTAAAGGAACACTAAGAGGGCAGGAGATTTCCTAGGGGGATTCCAGTGTGTGATTGTTGGGAAATGCATAAGAAAGTGGAGAACGGAGCGGAGGGAAGGGGTGTTAAGTTGACATGGGGGAAAGATTACATAGGTAGCTGCATAGAAGAACAGCAGTCTGTTGTGATGAAGTATCTGGGATGTCTCTGTTGACCCTGTCTAGGAGGTAGAGGAGTTCTGGGGTGTACAGATGGGGGGTGTTGAAGGAGGTCTGGAGATGTAGAGAAATGGGAGAGTTTGTCCAGTCGGTCAGTAGGGTGGAATTGGCTGTGTAGTGGGATGAGGAGAGGGAAATGCATAACCAGCAATCTCTGGCTAAGGAAAGGCTTCAGTTGGCTAGGAGAGAGTGGGTTAGGTTTATGGTACGTTGGAGGTAATCAGGGAGAGGTAGAGGGTAGCAGGAGAACCGGAGCGAGATTGAGAGTGAGTATGAAAGAAAAGAAGAGGACTTCATCGGGGTAGAAGAACTGGAGACTTCCTTGCCACAGAAGATCATCCAACCACTACAGAAGAGAGTTGAGGGTGCCAGCCTGGGATAAAACCACAAAATATCAGCTGTAATTGCCTAAAGG